AAAAGCCACTGAATAAATAAAAGCAGGAGTTCTGGTTTCTCAGTTTCTCTTTGGGATTATTACCCTCTCCCTTCGCCACCTTCTCTGCATTTGCCGAATGTGAGTGTTGTGCGGGGCCCACGCGACGACGGTCTCCACCATGGACCTAGCACTTAACCTACATTTTACTGTTTTACTGGTCCCACGTGTTTGCATTCACAGAAGAAAACCCCCCACCCCCGTTCTACTTTTAGTGCATTTTAGGCCTCAAGAATGTACTATAGGAATAGAAGTTCGAGTCTTCTCCCAGGAAGTTCGGCTTTAAATGACACACTTTCCATCGCTCACTGTTTTCTGACCCAGCCTGGAAATCAGCCTCCATGCTCTCCTGAAAGGAGCCATTCACGGGCAGAAGAGCTCTCTTGTGGAGGAACTTGGGTAACTCTGCCCAGTTCCTTAAAACAGTGGTGCCCTGGCGGATCTGTAGGCTGGATTCAGTGGGTGACCAAGATTTTACTGATTTGTACAAAGTGAGAAAAACAAGAACAATGCAAGTTTTTCATTAAGAAATTTATCTTGCTGTGATATATTCTGAGATTGTGTACTCTCTACTTTTTGAGTAAAAATGTCTTCTTTTATAATAGTAGGATCATAAAAAGTGATGTTTAAAATAAAAACATGAAAAAAAACACCAAAAAAGCCACACAATAAAATTAACCCAGTGCAGATGCCCAAACATTTTTGTTAATTTTATTGCTTTGTGAAATCCTGAAGTACAGAGAACCACCGTTTTAATGGATTTAATCAGAGATTTAATTTGAGCCAATGGATTTAACAATGTGGGGGTTCAGAACAAGTCACCCCAAGATGTACCACTTTGGCATGTGAAATACTTTGAGCTTAAGGCAACCAAGACCCTGCAGGCTCATGAGAAACTTTTCCCTCTCCCTTAAAGAATTTAAATTAGGGGCCTCGCCCACAATAAGAGTTATCACCAGAAATAACTTTTGATAACCAATCTATAGGGCAGAGCGAACTTCTTATCACTGAGCATCTGCTCTTTGTACCGTCCTGCAATACCTTCCTCCCCTCTGAAGCCCAGGGCACCCTATCCCATCCTTAGCTCAGGATTTCCTTTTTGTCTTTGAACCTCTCATGTTTGGAGTCCCTGATTCTCTCATGTATGTGGGGTTCCCATATATAGTATGTAACTGATTTGGTCTATTTGATTATTAAACTAGTCGAAAGAACCTCGAGGATAAAGAAAAGTTTCTTTCTCCCCCCCACAATAAGATTTAATCGAATCTCATTCTGATGAGGAAGGTTTTGAGTAATCCATTTCTGCACATACAAAACACCAACCTCCTTGGAAGCAACCAAGATGTCCTTCAGTAGGTGAATGGAATCAATAAACTGTAGGCCATCCAGACTGGGAAATACTGTTCAACACTAAAAAGAAATGAGCCATCAAGCCTTGAGAAGACAGGAAGGGAATCTAAATGCATTTGCTAAGTGAAAGAAGTCAATCTGAAAAGGCTGTATGCTGTATGAATCCAACTATATGACATTCTGGAAATGGTAAAACTTTAGAGGCAGTGAAAAGATCGGTGGTTGCCAGATGTTGGGAGGAGGGAGGGATGAACAGGCAGAGCACAGAGGGTTCTTACGGCAGCGGAACAGTATTCTGTATGATGCTATAATGGTAGATACATATCATTATAAATTTATCTAAATCCATAGCATGTACAATGCCAAGAGTGAAGCCTAACGTAAGCTATAGACTCTGGGTGATAATGAGGTTTCAGTGTAAGTCCATCAACTGTAATAAATGTACCACTCTGGTTGGGGATGTTCACAAAAGGGAAGGCTATGAATGTATGGGGGCAGGGGGTATATGGGAAATCCCCGTACCTTCCATTTAATTTTGCTGTGTACCTAAAAATGCTCTAAAAAATTAAATCTATTTTTAAAATGTCACTTGGGGTGGTGAACACACAATACAGTGCACATATGATATGTTGTAGAATTGTGCACCTGAAACCTGTATAATTTTGTTAACCAATGTCACCCCAATACATTCAATAAAAGGGGAAAAATAAAGCATTCTAGAATTTTGACAATTAAAAAAAACCTCAGCCAGATGTAATATTTTTTTGATGACTTTGCAGACAAATCAGAATTCCAAATGCTTCAGGTCCACCTTTCTGAGCATCAGTGTTCCTTGAACAGTACAGTTGATGCAGAAGGTAAGAGTGACTTGGTTAAATCTGGAGCAGCCCATGACATTCCCTGGGTTGTATTTTAAAATAAAACCCTAAAAGTTGTTCTTCCCCCTCCCCAAAAGGTCAATCCACCAAGCAAACAATGCTTTGTTACAACCACCATGGGGGAGCAGAGATCGCTGGTCAGATATAACTGAGACCAGAACATCAGACTGTTAGGCCTCAAAGAACTTCAGAGATTGCCTCTCATTATGGAACTGAGAAACTGCCTTGGAAGGTTTCTGGTCCTGGGCTCCCACTCACTTGCCCTGTGACCTTGAACTAGCCACTCACTACTCTGGTCTGCTTCCTCAACTGCAAAGAGCCCTTCTAGGCCTGAAATTTTGTGACAATGATGCCCAAGTTCAACATAGGAGGAAAAAGTGATGGTTTCTCATGGGTAAAGGGTTAAATCTGGGGAAATTCAGACTGATGCAGAAAGCAACCAAACACTCATTTTTTTCTTATTGCCCGAAATGGACATGACTTATAAGTTATTAGTCTACAGTAGCTTAGTATTTGGGGGGAAAACTGAGAAGAGATTCCTAATCTCCCCTCTGCCCCCTCCCCCCCCTTTCCCCTCACATGAACTGGCATCTCCTAAGGCAACGCTTCTGCTCAAAGGGCAGTGGATCCAAACGCAGACAGTTACTGCCTCCCAGTGGGCACAGCACGGGGCTCATTTCCAGAGTCAGCGCTGATAACAGGATTTCCCAGGTGCTGCAAGAACTCATCTTTAGAGCTGCAGGGACCTTAGAGAAGCCACCTGTTTCACTTCCTTCACTTTGCAGATGGGGATGTTGACGCTCAAAGTCACACACTGGGGTGCAGGGGCCATCTGTCCCAAGTCTGGGGCCATTCCGCTACGTGGCACTGCGGCGTCACAGGCTGCACGGACTCCACCTGTCTCCGCAGACTTCCTGAGTGCTGGGAACTGCTATTACCTGTGGCAGCGAAAGGAGGATGCCAGCCCTTGTCGAGAACTTTGGCAGCGGGAGGCCGCCCTGGGCACAGCCACGAGGCCTAACCGGGCGAGCACACGGGAACGCCTGGGGACGTGAAGGAAGAGCTCGGTATCGGAGCAAACCGCCGTAAGGCCGGACAGCGGCATGGAACAGGCGTTCCCTCGCAGCTCTCAGAAGGGACCAACCCTGCCCACGCCTTGATCTCGGACTTCTGTCCTCAGAACTGTGAGACAACACGATTCTGTCACTGAGGCCACTCTTTGTGACACTTTGCTACAGCAGCCCTAGCAAACTAATAGAGATTTTGTAGAGCTTTCCCTGTCAAACACCTTCCAGTTGTCAGTCACACTTCCCGTACGGAAAGCAAAGTGGAAGACTCCCTGGTCTAGCGCGACCTCCGAGGTCCACAGGTGTCGCCTCACTGAGACTCCAGGCGCGACGCCCACGCCCAGCCGGGCTTTCGCAGTGCACGCTGGGGCTTGTAGTTCCGGCGTGCGGAGTCCTGCGCGCGCATCCGCAACCGCGGGGCGACATTCTCTTCCGGCCTCGGGCCGCGGCTCCCGGAAGTTGAGCAAGTTAAAGTTTCAACGCTTCCTTTCCCCGCCTCTTAGACCCACAGATGCCAATCCAAGTAGCCAATAGGTCGCCTGACTGGCGCTTTCTGTTACCTGATTGGCTGAGAGTTTTGCTTCCGCCCAGACAAACTTGCCGGGGATTGGTGGAGCCTTCAGTTTTGAAAATCGTAGGTTTCGCCCGCGCTGCAAGGCTCCATTGCTGCCCCGGTGCCGTAAGCCTGAGAGTCCGGCAGCTCAGGGTCTGGGCGGGCCGGGGGGGCTCGTGTAGGGGAGGCCGCGGGACTTGGATCTGAGGAGCACTTAGGAGACGCGGTGCAACCGAGTGAGTGCCCGGGACGGCCGNAAGTCACACACTGGGGTGCAGGGGCCATCTGTCCCAAGTCTGGGGCCATTCCGCTACGTGGCACTGCGGCGTCACAGGCTGCACGGACTCCACCTGTCTCCGCAGACTTCCTGAGTGCTGGGAACTGCTATTACCTGTGGCAGCGAAAGGAGGATGCCAGCCCTTGTCGAGAACTTTGGCAGCGGGAGGCCGCCCTGGGCACAGCCACGAGGCCTAACCGGGCGAGCACACGGGAACGCCTGGGGACGTGAAGGAAGAGCTCGGTATCGGAGCAAACCGCCGTAAGGCCGGACAGCGGCATGGAACAGGCGTTCCCTCGCAGCTCTCAGAAGGGACCAACCCTGCCCACGCCTTGATCTCGGACTTCTGTCCTCAGAACTGTGAGACAACACGATTCTGTCACTGAGGCCACTCTTTGTGACACTTTGCTACAGCAGCCCTAGCAAACTAATAGAGATTTTGTAGAGCTTTCCCTGTCAAACACCTTCCAGTTGTCAGTCACACTTCCCGTACGGAAAGCAAAGTGGAAGACTCCCTGGTCTAGCGCGACCTCCGAGGTCCACAGGTGTCGCCTCACTGAGACTCCAGGCGCGACGCCCACGCCCAGCCGGGCTTTCGCAGTGCACGCTGGGGCTTGTAGTTCCGGCGTGCGGAGTCCTGCGCGCGCATCCGCAACCGCGGGGCGACATTCTCTTCCGGCCTCGGGCCGCGGCTCCCGGAAGTTGAGCAAGTTAAAGTTTCAACGCTTCCTTTCCCCGCCTCTTAGACCCACAGATGCCAATCCAAGTAGCCAATAGGTCGCCTGACTGGCGCTTTCTGTTACCTGATTGGCTGAGAGTTTTGCTTCCGCCCAGACAAACTTGCCGGGGATTGGTGGAGCCTTCAGTTTTGAAAATCGTAGGTTTCGCCCGCGCTGCAAGGCTCCATTGCTGCCCCGGTGCCGTAAGCCTGAGAGTCCGGCAGCTCAGGGTCTGGGCGGGCCGGGGGGGCTCGTGTAGGGGAGGCCGCGGGACTTGGATCTGAGGAGCACTTAGGAGACGCGGTGCAACCGAGTGAGTGCCCGGGACGGCCGGTGGAGGGGTGGGGTGGTTAGCCATTTATTATTCCTTCCGCCAACTCCGGGCCGGGGGCGTGACTCTCTGTCCCCTTTCGGCCTGGGAATGGACTGGTCACCTCTTCCACGTGGGAGATGACCTTCTTTGGTCCCGGGGCCTGAGATGACCCCCCCCCGCCCCCCTTCCATCTAGGCCACCGGGGTCCGAGAAAATAACCCTGTCCCCTCCCGGTGCCTCGCACCCTTGCGTGTCTTGGAGGCCGTTTTATTGACCTGGACGCGGAGGAAGCGCACAGCGACCGGGTCGTGTGACAGAATTATGCCAGATGGCGTTTCTGTACAGTTAACCTTCGCCCAACACCTCCGCCCTCAGCTGAGCAACATTTTAAACTAACCATTTCCGATGCCGGTGCCGCCCCTTATTACTTCCCAGGCACGTTCGCCGTCAGGGGTTCAGTTCTATCCAGACTCCGTGGCCTTAGATTGCGGGTGCCCCGAGCCCAAACTGGACGCCGGCCTTTCAGAGGCTGAAATCGAGTAGGCGGCGTAGCTTGTGCTTTAGAGCACAGTTGAAATCCAGGCCCCAAGGTGACGGAGTTAATTTCTCTTTGCCTCAGTTTCCTCATTCGCACATGGGAAGCCTTGAGGTTGAGGTGAGAATCAAATGAGACAGATGATGCCTGACCGGGGCATGGAGTAGGGCTCGGTAGATGGGAGCAGCTCCCTAACTTCTTGCACTCTCAAAAGAACAGGCATTGCAAAGGAGGGCGGTGGGGGCTCTGCTCTGGTGTGTGGTGTGAGGGAAGTACTGGAAGGGAAAGATGAGCCCCCTTCTCTATCCGTGGGATGCGGGGTGCTCTGGGTTTGTGCACAGGTTTTGACAGGGGCTGAAGACATTTTTGCTGCTCTTCCCAGGAGCCTCATTCTTGGTACACTGATTCCTCCTTTTTCTCAGGGTCACCTTTGTTCTAACTTATGGTGACCCCTTTTAAAGCTGACGACTGCCAAAAACAAACTTCCCCATGGAAGAAGCCCAAACACTTTTTTGTACTTGTGAAAGAAGCTGTCACCCACTCTCCGATTTTGAACAAATACTTAAAAAAACCCCACAACACATAGCAAGTTGTTGCCTTTGTTTTGGTTTTGGCATCCTTAAACAATTATCTCTTTCCTGGCCTGGAACTGGGGTCTTGCCCTTTGCCAGGGCTGAGCTCTGGGACAGAGAGGGGGCAGGAGGGAGCCAGAGGGATGGCAATGGAGAGGCCATGATTGGCTGGCTGCAGAGCTGTCTCTGTGCAAAGCCTCTGTGATCCTGCCCAATTGGCCCTGCCCTGATTAGTGCTGCTTTTGGCATCTAGGAACAGGAACTTTGGATATGGCATGCCCAAACCTGTGCAGAATGAGCTTATTTGGTGTCCCTGTGGGGGGTAGGGTGGGAAGTGAACCTGTAGGGTGTTTATTTCAAGGTGTTGAGTTGATAGGTGGATTCATTCTTTCAACAAGTATTTCTCTCATGCCAGGCACTGGGCTGGGCTCTGGACTTTAAGCTATAAGTGAAACAAAAGGGCTTGCCCTCAGGGAACCATGTTTAGTGGGCAGAGAGAGTCAGTAAGCAAACAAATATACAGTCACCCAAGTGCCATGCAGAGAATTGAAATTGAGGGATGGGATCATGGCTGGTGGTCAGCTCTTCCCTGAGTTGCTGAGATCCAAATGATGACGAGAGAGCTGTACAAAAATAGGAGACAGAGGTTCCAGACAGAGGGCAGGGTTTGTTTGAGGAATAAAGGCTGTGTGCCCTGGAAATCAGATCCCAGGAAGTCCCATGAGGCTGCAGCATGACCTGCTGTTAAGCTCAGTTGAGTGTTAAGGGTTGACTTAGCCTAGACCCTTCTTCTAGGAGTTTCTATCTTAGGTGGGAGGCTGAACTTTGCGTGGTTCTTGGTTTTGAAGGTATAGATCAGGGTGGTGGGTCACTGCCATGGCATGAGACATGCGGTCATTATTATAACTTCTGACCTTCACCCATTCACTTGTTCTTTCATTCACCCAGTTGGAATATTTACTGAGCCCCTGCTTCCTTGCCTGGGACTTTGGTGATGATATTATAACCTAGTCTTGAGGATACCTGAGCTGCTGGTTTTTAAGAAATTAAGAGAAAACTGGTTTTGTATTTCTCCCCTGCCCAGTATTTCTACACAACTTACTGCTTATCTGCTCCCCTCATGCTTCCTTATCCATTTCTAGGGCATTTCAGCTCAAGAGAGAGAGAAGGTGTGGGGGCCTCTTGGAGAAAAGCAGCCTGCCCCCTACTTTCTTATTGACTCCTTTGGAACGCAGAACCCCTTCCATTCACTGGCCTCTTGAAGAGGCAGTTGGATTCAATATTCTTTGGCTTGAGGCCTGGGGTCAGCTCGTGTCGCTCAGGGTGACTGTGTCTGAGCCCTTGCTCACCCACAGGGAGGAAGAGGAGAGCCCACAGGAGAGTAAGAGCAGGGCTGTGTTTGGGCAAGTAGACAGGGTACCCATGGTGGCCATAGTTTCTCCCTGATTCAGGAAGGCAGTTGGCTATGCCTTGTCATTTTAAGCCCCAGAAAAGGCCAAAAGGAGGACTGTTGAAACCAGAATTAGCTTGGAAGTGTGGACTTATGGAGACAGGCTGTTAATGGGTGGGTAGAGGGAAGGTGCTAGAAGAGTGTGAGTAGGACGGGCCCTTCCTTTTGCAAAAATGACGCTAGTGGATTGGCATTTGGAATTCTGGACCTCTGGCTAATAGCTATTAGCAAGGAGGGGCTCTGGTTCAGGCACTTGGTGTCTTGTGGTGGTTAGGGGATGGGGAAGGTTCTAGTCCCTAGCCCTGAGCCCCTGTGCCTCTTGTCTTTTTCATCAGACAGAACACCATGGGGACGACAGCTCCAGGGCCCATTCACCTGCTGGAGCTATGTGACCAGAAGCTCATGGAGTTTGTCTGCAATGTGGACAATAAGGACTTGGTGTGGCTTGAGGAGATCAAGGAGGAGGCCAAGCGCATGTTCACCAGGTGAGGGTGGGGGCCGCCTGGCTGCTACAGTGTGGGGGCATAGCAACCCAGTGAGGACTGGCCAGGCCAGATGGACAGGCTGCCAGGGGTCTCTCCTGAGTGCCCAGTTTGCTGGGGGCCCGACCTAGTATAATGGGAAGAGGAAGGAGAAGTATTGGGCTGGGTCTCAGGGGATGCAGCTGCACATGTTAGCCTGGCAACCTTGCTCCCCTGCCACATCCCTGGGAGGAAGCGCCAAGTGCCTGGCAGGGGACTTGCACATGGCCTTGAAGAGCTCACTAGGTACTGGTCACCCCAGCTTGACCTGTCACTGCCAGGAAATGGGTAGGGGCTGGGCTGGGGAGGGGAGGGGGCCAGTGGTTTCCAGGCATCCACAAATATCACCCTTCTTGTACCAAATAGAGAATTCAGCAAAGAGCCTGAGCTAATGCCCAAAACACCTTCTCAGAAGAACCGACGGAAGAAGAAACGGATTTCTTATGTTCAGGATGAAAACAGAGATCCCATCCGGAAAAGGTAGGAGGGGTCGGGGGCTGCCACTAGCCAGGGGAGGGTCAACTGGGCAGGGTCTGGAGGCTTGGTACTCACTAGGAGAGTATGATTTCCAGGTGGTAATTGGGAGCAGAGGCCTGTAGGAGTGGTGGTGGGTGCCATGTGGGCCATGCTGAAGGGTGAAATATCAAAGGAAAACAAAGCATGACCCAAGGCCATGGAGTCCAGAGGGTGTGTGTCTGTGTGTGTTGGGCTAGGGGTGTTTGATCTGGGCCTTGGACGATGGGAAGGGTTTCCAGAGGTGGGAGAAGAAAATTCAATTTTCTGCTTGGGGGAGAGCTGCTAGAGTTATGGACCAGAGGGTCTGTTGCTTAGTCCCTGTGCTCTGCTTCATATGCTACCCATGGAAATACCGTGGGCGGCAGACTATCAGCAAAGGAGGCTGGGTCTTGGGGTCAGGAGGTCCTGGGCACATACCCCAGTTCTTCCCCTTAGTAGCTATATGTCCTATGTTAATTTTCCATCTCTCTCAGCCTGTTTCCTCAAATCTAGAGTGAGAATGGTCCCTGCCTCTCAGGACCTTCTTGTGGATTAAGTGATAACATGAGCAAAGCCTGTAGCAGGGTGATTGGCACAGTGTGAGCTCAGTCAGCTAGAGGTTTCTATGCATTTAATCTTCCCAGTGGTGCAGTGAAGACTGGCATTATCCCCAATTTATAGGTTGGGAGACTAAGGCTCAGAGAGGGTGGCCCAGGGTCTCATGGCAAGGAGTGGACTAGAACTCTGGTCTTCTGCCTTCAAGCCTTTCTCTTTATACGCCACCTGAGCCAGCAGCTCCTGGGGAGGCTGGTGCCCCCACTCAAATTTTAGGGTGCCTCCCTGCCCTGCTGGGTCTTCTCAGCTTCTGCGCTGTGGCCTTTGGCAGGTTGTCCCGCAGAAAGACTCGGAGCAGCCGGTTGAGCTCCCGGCACCTGCACAGCAAGGACAAGGTGGAGCAGCTGGCCATGGTGGTCGGGGAGAATGGCTCCATCCCGCGGAGGGTGACACGTGCAGCGGCTGCAGCTGCAGCAGCCACCATGGCCTCTGCTTCGCCCACCTCCGAGTCACCCACAGTGCTGACCAGGAAGCCCAAGAATAGTGTTGCCCAGGGCCAGCTGGTGCCGGTGGTGGAGATAGGCGTCAGTGAGCGCTGCAGTGCCGAGCAGTGCCTCAGCCAGCTCAGTTCTGCTCGTGCTCTGTCCCCGGCTCCATCCCCAACCCTGGCTCCAGCCACAGCTCCCACCTCCCAGATCATCTTGACATCGGATGAGGAATCAACACTCAAGAAGTCAGAGGCCGGGAGACAGGAGTCTGTCGCCATAAGCTCCTTGATGGCTACACCCCAGGACCCCAAGGGCCGAGGGGTCAAAGCAGACCGGTCTGTCTCCAAGCTCAGGATTGCACGGACCTCCCCAGTCCGGCAGGACTCACCTGGCTCTCCAGCCTCCCCATGGCAGGCGCGGGTGCTGGCTCCCATCCTGCCGGATAACTTCTCCACGCCCAAGGGCTCCCTTGTGGACCGGCAGTCAGTGCGGCGCAGCTTGATTGCCCCGTCCTCCCCGGGTCCCCAGAACTCTGTGGCCCAGAAGTACTCCATGGTGGCCAAAACGGAGAGCGCCGTCCGCAGGTCAAGCAGAAGAATTGCCAAGAAGGCCACCACAGAGCCGGCTGCCTCTGCCCGCATCATCTGTGAGTCTGGGGGCTCAGTAGTGGGTGAGGTGGTGGGGGGGTCCTTGGTGCCCAGCTTAGCCAGAGGGGTTCTGGGGGACCATCTAATATTCTAGCAAAGAGCTGTCCATAGACCTTTCTGTGGTGATGTAAATGTCCATATTTGCTAGCCACAAAATGTACCTGGTGTGATTGAGGAACTGAATTTTTACTTTTATTACATTTTACTTAGTGTAGATTTAAATAGCCTCACTTAGCTAGTGTTTATTATATTATATTGGACAGTGCAGATCTTAGCCAACCCTCTTGTTTTAGTGGAAACTGAGGTCCAGGGAGGTTGACCATGTGTCCCTGTGGTAATGCCACTCTGAGACTCAAACCCACGCTCTTTACCCAGGCCAGGGTGTTCTGCTTTCCTCCTGCAGAGGCTCTCTTAGGTTCCCAGCTTAGCCAGAGGGGTTCTGGGGGACCATCTCTTAGGTTCACCACATTCGTGGACCGTTCCTGGTAGTGAAACTGTTTAGTCTGAAGATACTGAGGTGAAGAGATGTGAATAGTCACCGTAGCCAACTCATTCTGGGAGGGACAGATAAGTGGATTTGCGTGCCAGTTCACGCATTTACCTCCCCTGCGACCTTGGGCAGGTTACAGGAACTTCTTTATGGGCCTCAGTTCCTCATCTGTCAGCTGGGCTGATATTAGCATCAGCTGAAAGGGTTGGGGTTTCTATAGTTAACCCACGGAGGGTGCTTAGAAAGGTGTTTACCATGTACAAAGGGCCCTGTAACTTTAGCAGTTTTTATCATCATTGGATCCCAGCTCAGAGGACTGTTGTCCCAGTGGGAGCCACAGAGGAGCACAGGCAGCTCTAAGAGTCAAGGCTACAAGGAGGAGGTGGGGTCCTGCCAGGTGAAACAAATGTGGGGAAAGGTATTCCTGGCAGAGGGAACAGCTTGTGCGAAGACCCTGAGGCATGAAATGGCAAGAAATGGCTGGGCCTCATGTGCCACACAGAGGTTTGGGCTTGATCCCACTAAAGTGGAGGATGTGGCCCTTGATGTTTATTGGGAGGTTCCTGGCACTGTATAAAATGACCAAGAGGAGGGAGGGAAGGATGCAGGGAGGTCAGGCAGGAGGCTGCTACAAGGGTCCAGCCAGAGGACAGAGAGGGAGATGGATTGATGGAGAGGACAGGCTAGGTTTTATATTAATGTGCATTAAAATTATAGTTGACATCTGCCTGGCACTTTAAGATTTATAAAACTCAAGGTTACCTCATTTGGTTCCCACAACAGCTCTGTTAGCCTGTTAGAATTTCCCCATTTCACAGAGAAGGAAACAGGCTTAATGAGGTCACTGAGTCTATAAACTGGCCAGCAACCGCTTGCTGAGGAGGCCTGGTGGAAAGCCCCAGGGTAGGGCTCAGTTAGGCAGGTGAAGGTACCTCACCTTGCCAGGTTTCTTCCCCACCTGGGGAAAGGCTTGATCTGAGCCATGGGGCTTGGGGATACTAAATCTGGGACACATGCAGGTGTGTGGTCTGACCCACGGTCTGTTTTCGGATCTTCAGAAGGGCCCAGGTGGTGACCTGCCTTGGAGATTTCCTCAGGCCTGAATTGGATTCTAGCAAGAGGCCCCATGGGGCTGGCAAGCCTGGAGCTCCAGGGAGAGAGTGGGAGAGACTCTAGAGCTCGTTCTTACTTTTGGATCTGAATCCAGATCCCTAGCACTTAAGCCATTCCAATTGCTCCTCCCCCTCAGCCTTCTCATTTGATTTGCATTTGGCTCAAGCCTGTCTGACTCCTCTCCACCTTGTTGTGGAAGGAAGAAAGTCAAGAAGACAGTTCTGGTCTCATCAGAAAAATCTTTAGGTATTAGGAAGCTATGAAGCTCATGGTGGCAGATATCCTTTTTCCAAAATTCTATTTGTGGCTTTTTTTTGGCTCAATTTTTTAGTATTGACAACAAATACTGTTAGTTGTTTTAAGTGACTGTATCACTTTGTTCATTTTTAAGAAAATGTCTGCCAAATACCCAAGCTTGAATAACCACAGTTTGTCAGTTGTTCCTTCAGTTAAAAACAGTGTTTCGTGAGAAGAGTGACTAGTTTAGCTGGGAATTCACACATGAGTGCTCTTCACAAAAACTTGGGCATTCTACGAGCTTCCTGTTTTACCACAGAGAATCTTATTATTATTATTTAACATATATTGATTTTAGAGAGAGGAAGGGAGAAGGAAAGAAAGAAAGAGAAACATCAATGATGAGAGAGTCATTGATCAGCTGCCCCCGGCACCCCCCCCCACTGGGGGTGGAGCCCACAATCCGGGCATGTGCCCTGACCAGAAATCGAACCACAACCTCCTGGATCATAGGTTGATGCTCAACTGCTGAGCCACACCAGCAGGGCACCACACAAAATCTTACAAAGATGTGTACTTCAGTTTAAATTTATTAAAGTGACTATTTCTACTCCTTCATCAAGGACATTCTTAAGTGAAATGACATTTCTGTTCTGTGAGTATGGAGAGGGTCTATCTGGTGAAGAGAGGAGTCTCTGAGGTGGGGAGGGCCTGGCTTCAGACTAGGAGTGGCCAAGCTCCCACCCGCCTGGTTTCGGACATCTCAGAGTGGCACCTGGCTGGGGGTTTTTTGTGTGTTTTTTAAAAATATGTTTTTATTGGTTTCAGAGAGAGGAAAGGAGAGGGAGAGAGAGAAACATCAATGATGTGAGAGTCATTGATCGGCTGCCTCCTGCACGCCCCCTACCGGGAATCGAGCCCACAACCCGGGCATGTGCTGTGACTGAGAATTGAACAGTGATCTCCTGGTTCATGGATTGATGTTCAACCACTGTGAAATGTTGGCCTGGCACCTGGACAGTTTCTGAGGTCATCTTTTGTTACTTTGTTTTTCCATCAGGTCACAGTTACCTGGAGAGGCTCCTGAATGTTGAGGTGCCGCAGAAAGTCAGGTGAGTCAGGGTTGGGCAGGGTACTCTGGAACCAGGTTGTCTTGGTGCACCCCAGGATTGGAAGCATTTCCTATGCCTGACCCTTCCCTCCTCCTGGGGGCTGCCTACTGCTGCAGCCCTGCTCCTGCTCCAGTCTAACCAGGAAGCAAGTGGCATGGTGTCAAGTCTTCTTACGTTGCTTGTCAGTATCACTTGTCAGGTCTGGTGTTGCCTGGACCCCTCGAAGCCTTATTCTGGGATGTGGACTCCATAGGTTGTCAGATCCAAAGGTCTGTAGATAAGCTAGTGCAGCCATGAGGAACCACATTCAAATTGGGGTGGGTAGAATGGTACCAGCATGGGGGCTGTGCTGCTCCCTGCTCCAGGATTACACCCCAGCACTGCTTTGGGCCATCGCTTCCTGTCCTAGAGGCTACATCCTGCCATCACTAAAACTAGGCCTGCACCCTTGCTTTGGAACAGAGGGTCAGTGCTAGGGAGGTGAGATGGTAACTGTGCAGAGCTGCTGGCTCTGCTGGCCCCGTGGTGAATGGAGAGCAGGCCTCAAAAGAGGTGTGGCTTATCCAGGCCCAAGGGATTGAGGCAGAGCTGGGAAAGGGCTCACAGCCTGAATCAAAGCCGCGATGGGGGTGAGATGAAGCCAAATTCAGAAGCTGACATCCCTCATCTACTGAGGCAGCAGACACTCCAGGGAGCCACTGGCTCTGGCTGTTGTCCTCCCATCCTGCCTGGGACTGTGGGTTTGTGGCCCAGGCCAGGCTATCTGCCATGCACCTTTTGTGGTCTCTACCCCAGGGGTCAGGGGCAGAGCTCGTGTGGGGACGATTTGGACTGGGTGGGTCTCACAAGGTCTCCTGCTTTCAGCCCCGAGGAGGACCCCAGCAAGGTGACTGAGCCTGTGGAGGGAGCTGAGCTGGAGGTAAGGTAGACAGGCGAGGGGCAGGGGGGCTACAGGGCCTTGAGCTTGTACTCTGTGCTGTTAGTTCCAGGTGCAGACCCTTAAAGTCTTTTTTATTTTATTTTTAAATTTTATTTTATTTTATTTTATTCTATTTGAGAGGACATTTGTTAAAGCTGGGGACAGTGAAACAAGGAAGGGCCTAGGTTAACAGAAGAGAGACTACACGTGGAAATGAGCCTGAGCTGGGCTGCTTTGGCTCACTAAGAAGTCAGAGGAAAGGGGGACTTGGGGACAGGGTCAGGGGGTTTGCCTGGGACAAACTGCCACTGCCTATTGCTGCCCTGGTTGCAGACCTCATGGGCAGACCCTTAAAATCTTGGTTCTTCCCCCAGGTCCCTAAGAATGAAGGAAGTACCTTGTTATCCTGCAGTGCCACTAAGATTGCCATTAGCACGCCCGGCTTGCAGCCTGTGGCCGGTGGCCAGGAAACGCCTTCTGTAGGGCAGCGAGGTGAGTCTTCTTGACCTGCCATGTGCAGATACCCAGGCCATGCAGGCCTTGGGGGCCTCGGCCTTTCTCTCTGGGGAGAGGGAAGCCACATTTTCTGGGCTGATAGGCTGAAGGCACATGAGACCCAGGGCTACACAGATCTCCTTTGAGTCTGCAGTTTTCATTTCCCACCTTTTGGTTGGAGCTCCTGCCAAGTGTCATGTGAGTGGCCATAGCTAGTTGGTGTAGGAAACAGGGAGAGGTGGGGGGAAGACCTGAATTGGGTCACGGCCTTGAACTCTACTCCAGGGGGCAGCAGGAGGAACTGTATGCTGGGGTCTTGTTTTATCCTTGGTTCTGGCTCATTTCTCACCTCTGGGGGTCCCTATCTACTGAGATTGGTAGCGCCATAGGCCCTGAACTCTGGCATCCCCAGTCTGCCAGAGAGGCCCTGGGTCCAGCTCATGTCTCCCTGGTGGGAAGAGCCACGGTACTTGTCAGGTCTTGAACATGGCTCCCCCAGTGACGGTGGGTCAGGGACAATGGCCATGCCAGCCCCATAGCCACCTGGGGGGCTGCAAGGACTTGCTGGAATAAAGGGCGGGGAGAGGTCAGCAGTGAAACAAAATGGACTGACCCCCTCCCCCATGTGGACCCTGTATAGGAGCCCTCCCCTCCTCCTGTCACATCGGCTCCAACTGAAAGGACCAGGAGGAGTGGGATTTCCAAGCTTATCAATGGGTCAGTTAGAGCTTGCACCTTCCATAGGCTTTCACTCCTGAAAGGTACCCTCTAGCTCTTTGTAGGGGTGGCCAGGTTGTGGTTTGTCCTGTAGTTCTTGTCACAGAAGCCAGACTTGGGGGTGAGTGGTCTGTAGATTGGGATCGTGTGCTGGGCTCTGGATGTCCACAGACCTGTCAAGGCCAGTCAGTGCTGAGGCCAATGCTTCTGGACGCCCCCTGGCCTGGAGGAGAGCCTTGCTCCTTCCATGGCTGCCGCCAGTGGGACCTTCCTGACTCCTCCATGCTGCCCCTGCAGCCTCACTGAAACTGCTCTCTTCATAGAGGCCAAGATCAACCAAGCAGATGGACCCAAGGAGCCACCCCAGAGTGTCAGGTTTGTGTCTGGGAAGGGGTGTGTGGGCCACTATTCTGAGGGGCCCAGAGGGGCAGGAACCTTGAGTCCTCTTGGGGAGGATGGGTGTGAGGTCATGGCCTCCGTTTCCTCTCAGCAGGAGTGGGGCCTGGTGCTGACTTAGTGAGGGAGGCAGTTTGATGCTGCGGGGCAAGCCTGGCCTGGGAGTGAGTGACCAGATCCTAGACCCCATCCTTCTGTGGCCTCCTAGCCCTGTGACCTTGGACTGATCACTTCCCTTTCTCTGACTGGGCTGTGGAGGGTCGGTCAGGGAGACCCCACCTCTGCAGCATAGAGTCCTATGGGCTGGTCCCAGGTCTCTTCATAGGGGTGACCTTTTATGGGGTGTGGCTAGGGCTCTGGAGGGGGTCCCCAAGGTCAGCCCTGTGATGTTGCTGCCACCCCTGCAGGAGGAAGCGCAGCTACAAGCAGGCTGTGAGTGAGCTGGATGAAGAGCAGCAGCTGGAGGAGGAGGAGCTGCAGCCTCCCCAGAGCAAGACCCCTTCCCCACCCTGTCCAGCCAGCAAGGTGAGTGGGCATCTGCCCTCCCTCAGTGCCTCTTCGCTGCCCACGAGTCCTGACCCTGCTTCCGTCTGCAGGTGGTGCGGCCTCTCCGGACCTTCCTGCACACCGTGCAGAGGAACCAGATGCTCATGACCCCAACCTCGGCCTCCCGCAGCAGTGTCATGAAATCCTTCATTAAGCGCAACACTCCCCTGCGCGTGGACCCTAAGGTGAGGGAGCCGTGCCCCAAGCTGAGCTTTGCTGTAGTTGGGCTGCATGGCTGGAGGCTCCTAGGTGTCCCCTGTGCTTCTGGGAGCAGCGTGGGTCTGGGCCAAGACAGGCATGGCCTGCTACTGGTCAGTGGCCAGCCCACGCCTCTCCTGAGCTGCCTCGACATTTGGGGACTGTCCTGCTTCTTGGGCTCTGTACTGTGGCCTAGAGGTTGGCCAACTCCGTGTGACCCCTGGGTCTTGGGCCCTAGGCTGGGAAGTCACAGAATTGGCCCAGCAGGCCCCCACTCTGCCCACCCATCCCACACCCCCAGTGCCTTGAGGGTTAAGGTGAGGGACACACTTGTGACTCCTTCACTCACTGGGGATGAGGGCTGAGTGAGATAAGGGTACAGGCCCGAGCAGACTCGCTGGCATAGCCAGGAGCCTGGCCAGCTTTCTGGGGCATCCCTTGGCCTGCCATTAACTCGGCTTTTCCTTGTCTCCTCTCCACAGTGCAGCTTCGTTGTAAGTAAAACCTTTCCCATCCTTGTAACCTTGCTCTGCTTAGCACTTAGCTACTGTAACTGTCCTTGCAAAACTGACAGCACTTACAGAGGCACTAACACTCAAGTGGGAGCTGTAAGGGAGGTGGGAGGTGAACTGGGGCGCTGGGTGGCAGCTGCAGGCTCAGGCCATTCTGGACCAGGCCTCCTCCCTGCCTCTCTGCATTTGACTCTCCTACCAGGAGGAGTCTTGGAGCCTCCTTGAGGCAGAAGGAAGCAAAGGGTGTGTGACCTGCAGCTGTCACCAGGGCTACAGCTTGAAGTTCCCCACAGTCACCACCCTCTCTCCTCCCCAGCCCTGGGCTTCCTCTTAGGGTCTGAGCTGAGATTCACTGGGTCACACACCTGAGCTACTACCTTGAGGGGAGGGTGGAGCAATGGGTGGTTGAAGGCCAGGCAGGTAACTGAGGATGGAACTGTCAGCAGTGTCCTCTGCCACAGAAGCTGTTCTCTTCTCAGACACCTCAGGGCTGAGCTGGGCTACCAGCCATGAACAAGGAGCCACGGAGAGCTGGGATCTGCTAGGCCTGAGTCCTGGCTCTCTGGGGCTTCTGAGTTGCAAAGCTGCAGCTGCTTCATTCCTTAAGTTTCCGCTGTTGCTTTGAAGGGCCTCCTGCTAGGAGGACTTCTGCTTCCACCAAAGGCCCGAGGGCCTCGGCAGCACTGCAATGGGGCTTGGCAGATCAAGGGGCTTCCCAGCAGTTGGTCAGGTGGGCCCTGAACTTGTCTCTCCTGCAAGGACGCTGGTCCCCTCTATGTGGCCATGGGACACCTTCCAATATGCCAGCAAGCAGACTGGGAGGCCTTACATGCTTGTTTTTCTACCAGGCCCCTGCTAGGCACCTAGGCCCATAGCACTGAACCAGACTCAGACTATTCACCCTATAGGGAACTCCTGTGCCCCATCCAGACTGAGTGGGGCTTTGCAGGGCTCATGGGGATGACTGAGAGGTCCAGGAAACTGCCTTTTCCTGCTGTAGGGAGCCCAGGTCCCTGCCCAGGGCATCTGATGGGGGTAGGACAGTCCTCAGGAGACCAGGGGTCCTCGGTAGGTCACAAGGGCCTTGGGGCTTTGGACTAATTTCCTAATGTTTGCAAGTAACTTTGCTTGCCCCCTCATAGAGATGGGATGAACCAGAGTAATGTGTGTCCAGCGTCCAGCACAGGGCTTGGCATGAAGGGAGACTGCTCAGTTGAAGATCCTGGAGGCAGAAGGGGCTGCACAAGCTTTTGGTTTCCTTCCACCTTCTGATTTGGCCTTTACGGTAGCCTCTGGGGAGTAGGGACTATCCAGCACACCTTTAAGGGTTGGGGCAGAGAGGAAGTTCATAGTGCAACAGGATAAGTTCTCTGACCTATGCTGGGAAATTTTAGCACTGAAGTTTGGGGACAAAAACCTGTCTTGCTGAGCCCTGTTGAAAGCAGGAGTCTGTTGGGCTCTTGGCGCAGAAAGAGATAGTGGTGGGCATCCTCTGGGCTACCCAGTTTTCACTTCCAAGGTGCTTCCCTCAGAAGAGCAGGTGGGTGTGATGGTTGGAGGATCAGCCTCCTGCTGGTCTTATCTGTGTCTGGGCCATTGGAGAGTGACAGCCAGCTGAAGGCCGCCTATTCCCTCCCCATGGGGGCCTCCCAAAGGCCAGCACCCTCCTCTGGGGCCTTCCTGCACCCCACTCAGCCTCTGTGCCTCATGGTCACCTCTTTCCTTCTACTTCTTTCTCCATCTTAAAACAAAAACAGGTACTTTTATGTTAAAAAATTATGCAGTAAAGTTTATGTCTAAAATTCTATGGTAAAGTCTATACTTTGTAATGTTCACTTGAACACTTTTTAGTATTCCATTTTAATTTGTCTATTGTGATTTTGACTCTTTTCCAGTTTGTTACTGGTCACTCTAGGCAATACACACTTAACTTTCCGTCACTTTAGAATCGATATCAGTTCAATTCCTCTGTGGAACTCTTACACTCTCCCCACTGCATGCCACTCTTGCCTTACATGTTACATCTTCGTATATTGACTACCCCATCAGACAGTGTTATGATTTTTGCTTTCAACTGTCATTCATGTAAGGAACTCAAGAAGAATAGTGTATGTTTACCAAGATATTGATCATTTTTATTCTTTCATTCTTGATGTTTCTTTCGTGTGTCCTTCTGGTATCATTTCTTTTTTGTCTAGAGACAAAAAAGGTCTTTGAGAAGGAGTCTGCTGGCAACAAATTGTCTAGTTTTTTTTCACTTGAGAAAGTCTCTTTCACTTCATTTCTAAAGGATATTGTCACAATACAGAGCTCTTAGTTAACAGTTCTTTCAGCTTGTAACAAATTTTGTACCACTTCCATCTGGCATCCATAGTTTCTGATGAAAAGTTTTCAGACATTCAAATCATTGAC